CCAGATGGTCTGCCACATCACATCTGAATAGTGTTAACATTTGTCTCTGGAACAACATTCCTCTTCGAGCGTATCAACCACGCTCAGTCCGGAATGATTCCTCAAGCCTCACATCAAGGCTTACAACACCCCCTCAAACGGATATTTCAAGTGCGATAGTCATTATCTGAGTATCTTAATATGATCACAAGCTCACCACTCTTCCAAGAGTCTACTCATCCAGGAGTTGCGCCTGCCCTCTGTTCCACCCTAGGAACCACGTCTTACTTCTCCATGAGTCTCTCACTCTTAGTCTCAAGAGTCTAGGTAGCTTTCCACCTTTAACTATGGGAGCAGCCCATAAAAGGTTGATCCATATCTGTCTTCATACTCTGAGTATTATAATGCCATTACCGAGCTCACCACCTTGACAAGAGTCAACTTGTTCCCGGAACCTGCGCATGCCCTCTGCTCCTTCATAGCAGTCGCGTCTTAATGCTCCACAAGTCATCCACTTATTGTCCAAGGCAAATGTCTTCTAGCTCATTGATCTTTAGCATGGGGGCAATATCCATGAAAGTCAATCCTGCATTTGTCTCCATACTCATCATAACCCTTTCATTTGCTATCCATCTGTCCACTCATACCTAGCCATCACATTGGCTCTGGGGCATTCTGAATTGGGCTCCTTCCACAGCCCTCACACCTTCTCCTGAGGTGTCTCCGCTCGTCGTCATGCGGCGGTCTGAACTTGGACTTATATAACGGTCCTCACACCTTCTCCTGAGGTGTCTCCGCCTATTGTCATGAGACGGTCCAAACTTGGACTCATATCACGGTCCTCACACCTTCTCCTGAGGTGTCTCTGCCTGTCTTCATGAGACGGTCTGAAATTGGACTCATATCATGGCCCATACACCTTCTGTCTGAGGTGTCTTTGTTCGTCATAAAGCAGTCACATCCTCCTTCATCGGGGATGTCTCCAGTGACTAAGATTCTCTATCACCATGTGGACTTGGGAGAGTTCATTGCCACTGATCACATAGAAAGAGAAAGTTGCGGTATACTCCTCGCAATCCTCCACCTCGATTTCTATGTTTGGAGCTTCTATGTCTTTCATCATTACACTTGACAGCTCCACCTACACCAACTCTCTTTGGTGTCTTCGCCTTTCATCATAGGCGGTCGCCTTTTATCACAGGCGTTTGCACCCCCTCAATTAAGTGCATCTGCAACAGCTCATCTTTCCATCCTTGCATGCATTGAAAGGTCCTTGCTTGTTGCCTTTATCAAGAGCACAAGAGACTTCTTGTTGTACAACTTTTTCATACAGTCTCTGCTCTAAGCTTCATCTGGGAAATCTTCTTTTCCTTGCACCTGTTGTCTCATTACAGTACCTCGTTGGATCCTCCAGGTACTCCTACACAATCTTCGTGTGCTCTCGTGCAATTTTGGTTCTCCAGATTTCTCCCTATTCCTTGCTTATGTTTGACAGCAGCTCATCCTGTCACAACATCTATCCAAGTTTAAATAGGGTGCCAATCTTTATCCCTTTGCTGTATTTCTCTTCCATTATCAGGGTCTTCATCAATTCTCCCCTCGAGAAATTATAGTCACCGAATCTAACTTCCTTGGAGAAATCACCACTCCATCAAATCCTTGATCATACGAAACCCAACTGTTCCTTTGTGCCGTCATCCTGCTAGTCTTCAACAGTTTCATAATAAACTGTCACATATACGAAAATAGTACCGTATGGATAATCCTTCCACTAAGCAAGTTCCCAGGAAAGATTGGAGGGGTCACAACGGTCCCGCTTAAAACCCAATCTCCTAGCCAGAACTTCTTAGGCCATATCTATCCATCGTACTGTCTTTTCGTATATACAACCATTTGCTAGCTTTGTTGCGGCTTTCCTTTACAAGTGATCTGGGGTATCCTGGTTTTATACCTGATTTCTCAATATCTGGTGAGACTACCAGTGCTCAGATTCGTCAAGATTGGTCTTCATCAAATTTCACTCTCCACCTCAAATTGTCCACATGATCGGGTGTTTAGAGTGTCCCAATTTTACCTTCCCTCAAGGCAATTAAAATTCCCCACATAATAGTTCACCACATGTAATTGGACAAACATGTGTGATTTCTTCTTCTCCAGCTCCATCGACCACCATGATGACCATCATATGCCTCCTGATCGGGTAATCTCTCTTTAATAATTCATGACTGCCATTTCTGATCTCAATCTCAACGATCGGACCGTACCATTGCATCCGGAACGATCAAATTAGCTGGAAACAAGTCTGAAATCGTCCAAATCGCACTTCAGACGGCTAAGATTTGATCAAAACAATTTTGGCCTGATAAACGGCCCAGATTCAATCTCAGAACCGGTTGCACATAGACTCCGCCACACAGGATCAAAATCCAGGGAGCTGACGTGGCTGTAATGACGTGTCATCCACGTAGGACATATAGGTCAACCAAATCTGACGTGGCAGTTTGACTGGTCAGAGTGCTGATGTGTCAGGTGACGTGTCTGATAACTGTACAGAACTGCTGACGTGGCAGTTTGACTGGTCAGAGTGCTGATATGTCAGGTGACGTGTCTGATGACTGTGCAGAACTGCTGACGTGGCTGATGACGTGGACAGTCCCCCCGCCGGCGCGTGCGACGGTTTCCGACGCGGTTTTCCCCAGTGGCTTCGTCTCTTCCTCCTCTACACAGTGGTATGGTCAAAATATAATTTTGACAACTTTCATTTTTGAGCAAAATCAAACACCACTTTAAACCGAAGGCTCTGATACCAATTGTTGGGAATTTCGATCGGTGATGTTCTGATACTTGCTCATAGGAGAGCCAAGCACACTGACACAATATTTAACGTGGTTCGGCAAAACCGCCTACATCCACGGGAGAAGTCAATATATTTAGAGATAGAGAAAGAATACAAAACAAATACATGGAGGAGGAGGATTACACCCTCTCATACTCAATTCTCAACTCTCTTTGCTGCACTTGCAGCTGCTGCAATGGCAGCAAGGCTGCTGCCATTGCAGCTCTCTCTTCCTCTCTACTCTCTTCACATTTTCATAATACTCTTTACTCATTTTGCTCTCTTGCATATGCCTCTATTTATAGGCATTCATGGAGGCTTTTCTTCAACAAAGATGGCTGCCAACTCCAACTCTTCTTCAACAATGGTGGCTGCCAACCTTTGACATCTTGGATGAGTGCACATGGTTGGTGCAATAGCAAATGGTTGTTGCACATTAATGGCAACCAACCTAACAAGGTTTAGATAGCAGAGCAGCTGCAATTGTCATGCGCGCGGTGAAGAATGTGGTTACCACAGGAAGAACAACAGTTTGCACCATTCATCAGCCGAGCATTGACGTCTTTGAGGCTTTTGATGAGGTAGCACACGTAATGCTTTCTTTACTGGCATTATGAGTAACCTACTAATATTTTTTTGGATCCACGTGTACACTCAGTGGAACCAAGATTTGGAGAGGAGCCAGCCCAATCTATCTGATATGAACAGGATTCATACCCTTCTCAGTTTTATTATATCGTTGAATGACTAAGGGAGATGTTTATTCATGCAGTTGATTCTAATGAAAAGGGGAGGAATGATTATGTATTCAGGAATGCTCGGTCACCATTCATGTAAGCTTATCGAGTATTTCGAGGTATGGTCACCAGTACAAGCACTGAACTTCTTTATAAGCAAATGAAACCCTAGTTGTAATTAACAACCATCATTTTATCAACAATTTTTCTTATCAATAATTTTTCTTACCCTTACTATTAGACTTGTCAGGCATCGTCCTGAGTGTGAAGTCGATACCGATAACTTATTTACATGTCTTCACTACTGGACAGGGTATTTCAGGTGTGCCAAAGATCAAAGATAACTACAATCCAGCAACATGGATGTTGGAGGTTACTTCTGCATCGATGGAATCAGAACTTGACTTAGATTTCGCAAAACTTTATAAGGAGTCTCCTCTGTACCAGTAAGTATATATTTCATATCCATTTCCAGCAAAGCAAAACTTCATGGAAATGTTTGATAGCACAACTTGTTTCCCGGATTTTTTTCACATGATATGCACACTTCGTGAAGGTAGAAGGATTATAAAATAATCAGAACTTGACTTGCATTCTCTGTATTAATCATAAACTTCATTTTACTCTTTGATCATAGGGAGACGACTGAGATGGTCCAACAGTTGAATAAACCTCCTCCAGGTTCAAGAGACCTGCAGTTTTCCACTCCTTTTCCACAGAGTAGATGGGAGCAGTTTACAGCATGCTTATGGAAGCAACACTTGTCCTACTGGAGAAGTCCTGAGTACAACTTGTCACGATTCATCGTCATGATCGTTGCATCGCTGTTGTTTGGAATAGTCTTTTGGCAGAAGGGAAAGGAAATGTTAGCTCATCTATCACTTCAACTTAAATCAGAAAAGCAGCATCAATTTCTTAAGAACTGATGAAATGCCTTTCCTTTGTTCTTGTAGAAACAACGAGCAAGACTTGATCAACATACTTGGATCAATGTACACTGCTGTAATATTCCTGGGCTTAAACAACTGTTCAACGGTTGTACCATACGTGGCAACAGAGCGGACCGTATTGTACCGTGAGAAATTTGCAGCAATGTATTCCCCATGGGCTTATTCATTAGCACAGGTTCAACATCAGCACGAAAGAGTCATTTACTTTTCATAGCAACAAGTTCCTCCTTTTACTTTTATAATTTTCCACAAATGATAATACAAGTAATCCTTCTGAATACTGCAGGTGACTATCGAAATACCTTACGTTCTATTGCAAGCATTTTTGTATGTAGCCATCACATATCCAACAATTGGGTACTACTGGTCAGCCTCCAAAGTCTTTTGGTACTTCTATGTAACCTTCTGCACATTTCTCTACTTTGTTTTTCTCGGAATGCTGCTAGTTTCAATGACACCAAGCGTCGAAGTAGCTTCCATATTGGCTACCGCAGTCTACACCATATTAAATCTATTCTCAGGCTTCCTTCTGCCGGGAAAGGTAACCCCTGTAGTTCTAGGCTGCAATTAAATATGAGTTGGGCGTGCTTCTTACCTATGCTATTTTATGTACAGAAAATTCCCAAGTGGTGGATTTGGTGCTATTACCTCTGCCCCACATCATGGTCCCTAAATGGTTTTCTCACATCACAGTATGGAGACATTGACAAGGAGATCTCCGTATTTGGGGAGCTCAAGACAGTAAGTTCCTTTCTACAAGATTATTATGGCTTTCGATATGATCACTTGGGCATTGTGGCTGCTGTTCTCGCTGCGTTCCCAGTTGCTTTCGCTTTTCTATTCGCATATTGCATAGGGAAATCAAATTTTCAGAGACGATGAAGGAAGATCCATACAATCATTTTGAATTTCAAATATTTTCATGTACAATAAAAGATCAAGCCATTATGGGTCGTGCCACGCTAGCTCTCGTGCTAGAAAACCTTAGCCCAGTCTCGACACTATTTATTGATGTGTCTGTCGGCTTGTGCTGTGCTTGGGTTGGTCCGACATAGCAATCATCATTATCATTATTCCATTAAAGAAATTACATAATATATTTAAGCAGCAGAGAAGAGCACTCTTGTAACAAGAGAAGATCTTGAACCATGGTATGTATTTGGCAAGAAAGTGAATTGCACCCACTAGTTAATTAATTCATTAACAAAAAATAAAAGAGGAGATGAATTCTCCTTCCAAAGCTTTTGTCATGATCCGAATCTGAAATCCATAACCAGCAAAACAAAAATGGTGCTAGCTGGATACCACATCTCTGCTAAATTTCAAAGCAAATATATTAAAAAAACAAATTATTTAAAAATATATAACATTTTATAATATTTTAAAATATTATATTATTTAAAATTAATAAAACCAAATAATAATTCAAAACTTCTCATCAATAATTAAAATAAAAATAATAATTTATAATACTTATTATATTATTAAAATCTAAACTTAATTAAAACATGTAGGTATAAAAGTTATGTTATATATAAAGGGTTGCTAGTCTAGTAAAAAAATAGATTAAATAATTTTTTTATCTTTTATCCATTAAAAAAACTCAAAATTTTGGTATAAATTAGAAAACTCTTTATTCTTGAATACACTTAATTAATCATGACAGAAAGTATATATTCTATTAATTTTCCGTTACGATGCTTGACATATTAAAACTATCTTTCATATGATGCAAAGATTCATGTTGATGAAGTGATGGAATGCGTCATAGATTCTCGTTGCTGCTGCAGCAAGCCGTCATAGCCATTAATTGTTCGCGCTGTTTAAAGAAATAAAACATGAGTTGAAGTTTTAACACTTACTCCTTTACATGCTCGCTGGGCTGCAGTTGAACTTTGTTTATATAATTACGCAGATGGGAAGGCTCAATATCATTTGTAAAGCTATAAAGGACAAGGTGAAAACATCAGATTTTATTAAACACAAGACAACAAGTTCCACGCATGCAGCTACTATTATTATAAGCATATGAACAAGCATCCAAAATAATGTCGTTGACTTTCTTTATATATATATATATATATATATATATATATATATATGGGATGTAAGCATTTTTATTTATTTATCTCATATTACAGTATTAAAACTGAAATAACTTTAATACCAAGATCGGTTCAAGAACAAGGCATGTTCATTGGTCAGAAGAGACGTCAAGATCTGTAATAACTTACGGCGCTGTGATTTCATATTATTTTGTAATGATTTAACTCTGATATCTAATAGAAAGACAAAAAGGTATTGTGCCGCAGAGGAGAAATTCCTTGCTTGTCATCTGCTTATGGATTTGGTATAAGATCACGCCATATGATTGACTAGTGCTAGAGTAATAAAATAGTAGCGACTCCCGGACATTGTATATAGTTACACAATTAACTATTTTACTGCCTCTCGGTCGCCTTGAATTGAATAATATTTTTTTAAAAAAGATTATATATATATATATATGTATATATATATATATATGTATAAAATGTGTTTACAGTAAAAACTCTAATTATAAATCAAAAAATTTATATAAACTTTTAATTAAATAAATCAAGAACTTTTTATGTCTATAAATACAAAAAAAAGTGTTTGATGTATCTATTCTACTCGTCTAGTTTTAGATCTAATAATTTTTTTCTAACACAAATAAATTAATATAATGGTGTTATTAACTTGATTGTTGACAACAAGTACAAAATATAATTATGAATAGAAAAGTTAATACTTATGTATAATAAATATATAATGAAGATGATATACATCAATAAAGATATATAAAATCTCAAGTTCATTTTTAACATGGTAGTAAAATGGGATATGATTGCAATTGCTATATTAAAACACTATTTTCTTAGTCTTTGTATAATATATACTTTTTTAAAAATTATAAAGCAAAAAAATTACAAAAGAATGATGATAAGAACAAAAACAATGATATAAATATGTTAAGTATAGAGTGATAAATATTTCAAGTGTAGAGAATAAAAAATAATATTTTTTCCAAAAAAATATGTAAAGAAAAAAAGAAAAACTAAGAAAATATTTTTAAAAAATGGTAATAAATAGACTAAGTGTAAAATGATAAAAATATCAAGTATAAAGACAAAAAAATAAGAAAAACTTGTTTTCTAAATTATTAAAAAAAGATGAAAATAATAGTTTTTTTGCCACCATAGTGAAAAAATTAAAAAAAAATTCAATTATGTCATTTCTACAGTGTTTTTTAAACTTTAAAAAACTAAAAATTATAATTTTGCCACCGCTACAATAAAAATATTGGAGAAGATTTCAATTTTTCCATTTCTACAATGAAATGCTGTTTTCTTTTAGAATATTTACTAGTTATATGACCTGCATGATGCCATAGGTTAATTTTTTATATAAAAAAACAAAATAAAAAAACTAAAATCTAAAAGTATTAAATCTTTAAGTAAGACTATATCCAAGAGTCTTGAGTTTAATTGCAATACCTGATTCAAAAATAATATTAATAATAATATTAAACTTGTGTGATATAAGTTTAAGTGAGTTTGACTACAACACTAAACCGAGTAGCCTTGGATGTGAGTTTGGCTAAAAAATTTGAATTAACTTTGGTTAATCCTTCAAATAAGGTTAACCCGTCAAACTTGGAATTCGCGTCATGAATGTTTGATAACAAAATAGAAAAAAAATTGACGGGTTAACTGGGTTAAACCATCAAATCAGGTTAACTCGTCAAACCATGGATATGTATCATGAAAATCTAATAATTAAATAGAAAGAAATATAACATTAATAAACCAAACTAAACAAAAATAATTAATTAAAAAAGAATTGGGTTAACTCGTCAAAAAATTTAACATTAACAAACTAAATTAAAAAAATTATTAAAAAAAACTCAAAGTAAAAAGCAAAAAAAATAAAAAACCTATAAAGGCATAAAAAACAAAAAAAATAAGAATAAAAAAAAGATAGCTTAAAATATTTAGTTTATGTTATTATTATTATATTATATAAATATAGGCATGGGGAAAGCTACATTGCTTTCCTCACGTGTTTTAAAGTATTGATCAATAACGTAATGACCTTAGAACATCATCTAACCAAGTAGAACATAATAAATTTAATAAAAATATATTTTACAAGAGAAATTTATTTTAATGTAGCACTATAAAAAAATTATTTTGGATTATAATAATGAATTAATTTTTTACTTTTCATCAAATCAATCAGGAAAACCAAGCTTAGGGGTAAACTTATTTTTTCTCTGTAATCTATTTGTCATTTTTGTTTTTCTTATTTTTATTAAGGGTATATAGGCTATAAAAAAAGGGAGGATATCCTTCATTGATTTTGGTTTAATTTTCTAAATTTCATATCATATATCTATTATTAAAATTATTTTATAAAAGATAATTGTATTTTGTTTCAAACAATATTCATTTAAGTATTAAAGAATCCTTAAATATATAAAAGGGAGCTTTTTGCAAGTACAATATAAGTTTCACCTACCACCTTAACTAGGAAGAACGATTTGAATCATTAAAACTAAAAGATTAACCTATTATAGAAAAAATCAGCTTGGCCCTTAAGTCTATTCGATTCATACAAGCTTCGTTAACACTTATAAAACATCACATTATTTCACTTCATAGACAAGTAAAAAAACCACCCCATATAATTTAGAAGTGAGTGAAACACAACTAATTGATTGGTGAAGTGGAATAAGACCATGGAGTCGGGCTCTTCTTTAGTGAGGTTCTTTCTATAGAGCGAGTCAATAGAGTTAAGCTCTTTTTCTAGGACGAGTTCAAAAAATTACTGCATCCAGGCATGTTGAATGAGACATTTTGAGGGGTTTTATGGGCATACTAAATTTGAGTTTATCGACTATCATTCTAACATTACAATTACAAGGCTACTTTATATATATATATTTATAT